ACCCAACTAAGCAGCAGTTTGGAAGATAAGAGAGCACATGGACTTAATGGGCCTAAAGCCCAATTCAAACTGGTTTAATATGATTAATTAAAGAATGGGCAATTCTGGGATTTAGATCAACAGATGGGATAAGGAGTTATCCCTATCCATTCAAAGAGTCCAGATCCAAATAAAGATTTGGATTAGGAAATTCCTAATAAGATTAGGAGGGTTGATCTTTATCTGCATATAAGATAACGGATTATACTTATCTCTTAAAGAGAGTCTAGATACAAATACAAGATTTGGATTAGGAAACTTCTAATGGGATTAGGAGAACCTCTCTTTAAAGCTATAAATAGAGGAGAAGGGCGAACCCCAGTTCACCAATCAGATTACTGATACAAGAGAGAAGACACCATATAGTTAGACTGATGCCATTTTCTGCTCTTGCCTTTCCTACTGTTGCCACCATAGCCAGTTCGATCTCCACCTATAGGAGCGATCAAGAAAGGTTCTTGATATCAGTTTTTGGAGAAAAACTGATCTGAAGTCGTGCTCACTCGCCCTCCATCAAATTCTTGGTGAAGAATCAGGTTCTTGCTTAAGGACCACCCTGTTGATTCTGCTACAATCTACACTGTGTCATCTTCAGTGGGAGCAGTCTTTGGAGATCTCCTTGAGCGTGAACACCTTCATTGGGAGTTACTACTACTCTGTATCAGGTATATCCCTCTCCTACTCTTTTGGTTTTAGATCTGGTCTGGTTTATGGTTCAAAATTGATAATTGAAAATGCAGTTTTCTAAAATAAGGAATGTGATTCCCATATGGAAGAGAGATAAATTTATGAAATTTCGCCCAACCTACCTGCAGGGCTTGACTATTCATATGATGGATCTCTCAATCCTTTATCAACTACCAATGTGTAATGGAGTGTTAACTCTTTTTTTCATTAATTATTTTATATTAGCATATGCAACCAAATTTCGTAATCTAATAATTTGAGGATCAGCAACAGTAGTACCTAGTATTTTTTCTATTGTTATTGCTGTTGGGTGGTTGGTTAGGTATTCAATCAAATAAATTCAGTACTTTGTTAACTACAAGCAGCCAATTAATCAGATTTTGGTTTAACAATTTGTTTTCAAGATTAGATGTTTGGCTTTGTCATTGCTTTTTCCTACACTGCCATGCCGATGAATGCTTGTGGTAAGCTCATGAGGCATAGCCACTTAATTTAAAGCACAAATACTTAACACAACTTCTGAATTGTGAACAGATCGAGTTAATGTAACTACTTGTTATCAATATGCCTCATTATTCTTTAGTAGAATTTTGACTAGTTAAGCATACTCATTTGTTTGTTAAGTTATCTAAATTTGATCCACCACAAGATGTGTGTGAAGAATATTTTTTACAAATGAATTAATACATACATCATTATATTGGTATGTATTTGTCAAGCTAACCAAAATGCATAAATCACATTAGAAAGTATATACAATATATGAAATTTTGTATTATTATACCCAGTCAAATCTATAGCTCTTATCTTGAATTCTTATAAAGCTTTCTTGCTTTAATAGGTGGGAAACGACTTGTCCCTGTGGGTCTTGGATATGATGATCAGTGTATTGAAGATGACTTTGCAACATGGTACTACGAATTTTTCTTGCTTTTTTGAATTGATATATTTTTCTGCTTCATCCTTACTTTCTTCATTATGTTGTATTAAAATGTTTGGCATGGCTTCAACTATTGTTGTTATAGGCGAGAATTGGTATGGCCTGAGTTGGATCAGCTGCTGAGGGATGAGGATGATACATCTGTTTCCACTCCTTACACTGCTGCTGTTCCAGAGTACCGGGTCATATTTTATGATCCTGCAGATGTGCCAGTAAAAGGCAATAACTGGAGTAATGCAAATAAATGGTCATGCTGTATATGATATTCAACATCCATGCAGGTACTAGTGGAAGTTAAGAATTCTGGATTTTAAGTTCAGTATAGTACTTTTCAAATCTGAATCATGTCCTATTTGAATGAAGGTCTAATGTGGTTGTGCGGAGAGAACTTCACACCCCAGAATCTGATCGTTCTTGCATTCATGTTGAATTTGACATTTCAGGCACTCGTTCAAGTGGCATGGCAATTTTGTTTTCGTGAGTTTTGTTCTTGTTTGGTGCAATATTTAGGTACTGTGAACTACCATGAATTTGTTCATGTTTTATTAGATATAATTCATAAATCATAATTGTTAGTGAGAATGATTTGATTTTAAAGATGTCATCAGATGGAAGTTCTTATGACAGAACCGGTTTAATTACATGAATTCTCAATGCGTGTATATGTTGAAAATATATAATTAGTGGATGTTTTTGAGGTTCTTTTAACAGAGGCAGAATTGAAAACTTTGGCTGATTTTGATTTCAGCTTCTAGTTGAACCAAACAGCTCCGACTCCGGCTGCGAATCAAACGGACCCTGATTATAGTCTTCAAATTTTAGAACAAAGGGTTGGAATTGAAAAGGGGTTTTATGTTAAAAATAAATAAAATAAATGTATGGGAATGGGAATTACATTCTCTAGAAAGGAGTCAGGAATGGTCATTTCCCATTCCACCTAGAATGGGAATGAGATTCTCATTCCGACCAATCAAATGGCAAGAATCGGAATGGGCCATTCTAATTCCGATTTCAGACTTGTATTCCCTCGAACCAAACACATCTATTTAGCATTTACTAACCATGGTCCATTTTCTATGACATGCTTTGTGGGGAGACGCAAAGGATAGCAAGAAGTATCCATTTCCTAGCGGTTTTATGCATACCAGTTATTTTCCACGATACGTTAACTCTGTGCGCGATGGCACTACCAAACCATGTTTGAGTTGTCAATTAATATAGTGAGATTCAGCTGTTGTGCTATTCATGGTTTTTAAAACCGATCCGTTGATCGAATCAGTCAGGGGTCTGGTTACCGGGTCAAACAGTCTGACCATTTGAATCAAATGCTTGGCCCATTCTAATAAAAAAGTAAAAAAATTCAAAAAAATAAAAATATGGTTAAAATCTTTTGAACGGTTTAAATGATTAACTGCCCAGTTCAGCGGTTTGTGGATCAAAATCAATAATTTTGGGGGAAAGTCTGGTTTTTGAGGAAAATGAAACCGGTCCCGATTTTTTTTTTATCCGGTCCAGTTTTAAAAACCATGATACTATCTTTTTCCTTCTGGGAGAGATTAATACGCTGACTCTACTCGGTTCTCCCTTCTCCATCGCCATCCTCTTATGAGATTTGGGTTTTGAATTATTTGAGTGTTCATGCACATAGTCAAAGCCTTGATGTCTATATACTCCCTTGCATTTTCTTTTATTTTTCTTTCTTTGGGGTGGTTGAGGTCAAAAACTCTTCAGTTAAAAGTCTGAACCACCTTCGTCTTTTGAAGGGAAGCCTTGATGTCTATATACTCCCTTGCATTTTCTTTTATTTTTCTTTCTTTGGGGTGGTTGAGATCAAAAACTCTTCATTTAAAAGTCTGAACCACCTTCGTCTTTTTGAAGGGAAGGATGTTTTGCTTGCTGTCTCAAGGTATATCCCTATGATGTTTGCTAACAGTGTACTTTGAGTTATTATTCTTAAAAACATTAGTGTAGTTTGTTGGTTCTATGCTATTTGAGTCCCCCCTTGATGGTTCTGACCAATGTTTTCGAACCCTCGTTGATTCGGACGGTTAGACCGTTCGGACTGGAAACCGTTTAGGTGATTGGTTCTATTTTACCCCAAACAGAGTATTTGGTCAAAACCGTTGAATTAGTCAACGAACCGTTGACCCAAACAATTTGACTGGTAAATCGTTCGACCTAGAGAACGGTTTGTTGCTCAAATCTCATATCCGAGAAATCTCTGAGATTGAGAAATCAGAAATCTCTGAGATTGAGAAATCTCAAATCTGAGAAACCTCTGAGATTGAGAAATCTCATATTTGAGACTGAGAAATCTCATATTTGAGACTGAGAAATCTCGTGTGAGAAGGTGTGAGAGAGAGTGAGATTTGAGATTGAGAAAGCCGTTGTAGTTCGTCGTCACCGCTGCAAGCCTGCAAGTCCTCCTCTTCTTCTTCTAAACTCTTTCAGTTCAGCCGACAATTTTCTTTAAACAACCCTTATTTTCTCTTATATAATGTGCATCTTACCCTAATATTTCAATCTAAAGGGTAAGATGCTCAAACCGTTTGACTCTAACAGTCAAACCGTTGACCCAGAAACCGGTGGCCAGAACGGTTCCGTTTCTGGGTTAGATTTTAAAACCTTGGTTCTGACTCACTTACTGCTAAGGATAAGCGTAAGCAAGAAATACTGAAAAATCGAACTTAACCGATGGAATCGAACTGAAAAATCTGACTTACCTAACCGATCGGTTTGGTTTCAGTTAATGGTATACATATATTTATATTATATATATATATATATATATATATATATTTATGTATATTATATATATTATAAATGAATATATGTATTATATTATAAATATATACATTTATAATATATAATATATTATTTATTATTTATAATATAATATTTTATATTTATTATATATAATACTATGAACACCAACGAACCAAACTAGAGATTAACCGAACCAATTGACTAGTTAATTGATCGACTTTAGTTCAGTTTCAGTTACTAGTTTTCCAAAAAACGGTACCACCGACTTGGTTTGAAAAAAAAGCCCATGGTTTGGTTAATCTATAAAATATTTTTGTAAAAATACCAAGGTTTTTAAAACCGAACCGGATAACGAAACTATTAGGGATTCGGTTCTCGGGTCGATCTGCCTGGCCATTTGAACCAAACGTATCGCCCCTTCTGACAAAAAAAATAAAAATAAATAAAAACGGCCAAAATTGTTGGACAGTTCGAATGGTTTGACCACCCGAGTTAGCGGTTTGTTGACCAAATCAACGGTTTTTGGTGAAATAACGGTTTTGGGGTAAAACATCCCAGTTTTTCCGGTCCGATCTAATTTTAAAAACCATGAAAAATACAAAGAATTATAAAATGTATGTATAAACATATCATTATATAGCATTTTTATTTTAGTAATTTTAGTTATGACATCATGGGTCAATCTATTTGACCCAGATGGTTGAACTGCATGGGTTGTCGGTTTAAGTTTTCGTCTTTTATCGTGTTGTTGGGGGAAGATCTATCTCTTGAAAGATTCCACCCCCAAAGATGCTAAAAGCTCAATTCAAACTTGTTTCGAAAAACTATAAATAAAACTTCTCGCCTTTTTTGTCTCGTGTTCATACAAAAATATGCACCTCCAACCAAACGTTGAACTACTATAAAATCTTTATGTAAAAACCCACAAAAGACTTACCAAATGGCACCTAATTAATCGGGTCTAAACCAGGTAACCAGAATCAAACATAACCGGTTGGTTTCAAGATCCGACCAAGATGAAAGTGAAGAAATATATAGATAAGCAACATCAAAACCATTACCAATTCACACAAATACAAAAAATCAATTAACCCACAGATTGAATGTGACGTATTAATTCTTGAATCTTGATGACAAAGGCCCCCGGAGTTTAATTCCGAAATTATATACATGAATCCCCTACAAATCCCATCAACTCAAAGCAGCAAACCCCCCTCCTCTCATCATCTGTTTGAACTCCTTGTAATTCACCATCCCATCTCCATCCACGTCCACCTTGTTTATCATCTTCTTGCAATCTTCCACGGTTCTCCCTTGCTTCAGCCCCAGCGACGACAGCACCGACCTCAACTCCTCAACCGTGATGAACCCATCTCCGTTCTGGTCAAACACATTGAATGCCTCCCTCATGTCCTCTTCCTCGTCCCGCTCGTCCATTATCGTCTTATACAATGTATTGAACTCCTCAACGTCCACGCACCCATCTCCGTTCACGTCGATCTTCTCGATCATATGGCCGAGGTCGCTGTCGGGGATGAAGATGCCCAGATTCTGCAGCGAGTCATTGAGCTCCTTCTTTGTGATCCGGCCATCCCCGTTCCTGTCGAACATCTGGAACACCCGCTTCAGCTCTGCCGTCTCCATTGTTTGCTGAATTAACGACCACGACGACGTAGGTAGGGATGATTGCTTGGGTGGTTCTTCTGTGCTACTAGTTTGGCGCTGGGAATTGGAGAACCGAGAGGGAGCGAGAAATGATCTAAGTTTCTTGGGGACAAAAAAGGAGGAGGATTGAATTAAGAAGAATGTAAAGATGGAAAATCGTTGACAGAGCGGTTGGCATGGAGAGAGAATTTGTGGTCGGAGTTGTTGTTGTTGAGAGAAAGAAGAGCGGAGAAAAAATAGGCGCTTAGAAGAGGCATTGGGGTCCTACAACAACGGCTGGATCGATCACTAATTTGATTTCTTCGTTGCTTTTCTTCTTTCTCTTTATTAAAAGCAATAAATAAAGCTGTCTTCGATTTCAACGCGTTTTTTAGTTTTTTTTTTTGTAAAACAAATACACCAAACGCGTTTTTTAGTTATTGCCTTGTTGGGACGCGCTTTGTTAGTGGTTTGGTACTTTGGTTTGCTTCATTTTTCTTCTTCCATTTTTGAATTTTAAAATGGGGAGAGGGGCAGAAAAAATGGCCGTTAATAACGGATATAAATAATACGAGAGACGTTGGAGTTAATATTGGAAGTACATGAGCACTGGCGCACTGTTACTGGGATGGGTCGGATTGATATCAATTCAAGTCGCTCGAATATAACCCGGTCCATGACACCTCCTCCCGCCAAACGCGGACGATGACAGTTGGAAAATTGCTGTGGTGCAATGGGAATTGGAAAAAGGAGTTGGCAGGAGGATGGGTTGGGAGTTGGTTGGCATTTTCCCCAAAATGTTGGGGACCATGTCGAGACGTGACAACTGTAAATGATGGAGCGGTAGCACCGAATTTCGGTTATAGTGTAGATTTTAGAAGTCAAGTCCAGAATCTCCAGATGGGTGGGTGGGTTCCACGACTCCGGATCTTCTGCCCATGCCTACCCATAATAGGCTATCCATGGTGAACTGGGTACATCTCCCCCTGCATAATACTATATAGAGGATGAGATGTTTTCCATTTATGGCTGCGATAAATGTGGGCAAGAGATCCCGATTCGGGTTCCACAATGTCTCTCTGCGAATAACTTAAGAGTTCTTACATTTGTTGTTAAATAGTGAATCACCTCGTACTAATTACGGGGAATCAATAATGTTAAATTTATATTATGTAATCAATAAGGTTAAATTTATATTTATAAATATTTTAAATAATTATTAAAATTTTAAAAAATAAATTTTCAATAATTATTAGTATATGTAAAGTTTTCTTTTGTTATGATACATAGAGAGTTAATAATTAACTGAGGTTGATAGAATGTAGGCAGAAGTGGTTGTGAATAACCACTTTTGCATTTTTTGCATTTTTTATGAATTCATTGAAAATGGTGGTAGTGGGTTGTGGGCTTTAGCATCAACATATCAGAAAACGCCACGTGTCTAGCTTTCTAGAAAAATGAGAAGGCCATGTGTCTGAATGGTGGAGGGTTGTAGTCTGGTAGTGGGTTGTGGGCTTTAGCAGGAATTTCTCAGAAATTGTCATGTGTCTGACTTTCTGGAAAATGAGAAAGCTACTTGTATAGTGGTAGTGGGTTGTGAGCTTTAAGAGCAACTTCTCAGGAAATGCCATGTGTCTAAATTTGAAAAAGCCACTTGAGCTTCGAAGAGGTCCCGACGAAGGCTTCAAAGAGATCCCGAGGTTGCGGCTCCAGAGGCACCCTCTATCGAGTTCCCAGGGGAGGAGGTCCGTCCCCAACCCCCGGTTGTTGACTAGGACAAGGATCAGGATGAGGGGACCCCGCCTTGCGAGCCTAAAGGTACTTCGATGCCTGAGCCTCAGCCCCCTTCAACAAAGGAGAGCATAATGACTCCGAGGCTCGGGCTCCTTAAGAGCAAGGATGTCGTGTTTCCTGAGGAGGTCACAGAGTGGGATGGCATGTCAACAAGTCAGCTCGGAGGAAGGGCAACCTACTACTGTATGGTGGTAAGTAACCTGCCCCTTCACTTACTTTCTTATTCTTCTGCCAATGACACTTACGCTTGCTTTCGATTTTTTAAGTGAACTCCGCTATTCACTTGCTCGTCTACCAATCAGAGATCTGCTTGAAGCGAGCTCGGGAGGTCGAGGAGAACGCTCGGAAGCTTTATCGCGAGTTGGACTTATCTCGGGGGGAAGTTCTTAGAGCCGAAAGGGGAGCTCAGAGCCAGGAGGAGCTGATCCTGGTGCTGACAGAGGAAAAGAAGAAGCTCAAGGGGGAGAAGAAAGCTCTCATCTGAGAGAATGAAAACCTTGAGGCGATGATCAAAGAGCGCACTGAGATCTTTGACACCGGCATTCAGGAGGCGAGGATTCAAGAAAGATATCGCGCCATCAAGGAGTTCAACGAGTCCCCTGAGTTTCACGACTTCCAGGTCGAGTATGGCTCTGGCTCGTATTGGTCGGGCTTCAAGCTCTACAAGTGGTTGAAGTTTCCTAAGCTCGACTTTGGACCGATCTCCATGTTCATCGTTACTCCTAAGATGGCGAAGGAAGCTGACGGGGAACCTGACTCCTCCGAGAGAGAAAGCGATGACGAACTTCTCAAGGCGAGACCTTCAGGGGAGGCAGGCCAAGATGTCGTAGAGGAGGACCACATGGAGACCGACCTACCTACTAGAGGGGATTCTGGCATATCTGATGCTTAAACATGCCTTTTTTCTTGGACCCCCCCCCCCATATAGTGTATGACCCGGGCCTCCGAGCCTGGTTATAGCAACCATGTATTCGGAACCTTTATGTTAATGAAATATAATGATTCAAAAAATCTTGTGCAAAAGATCTAAGTAAAAAATTTTCCTAAGTGTTGGTTATCCCAAAATGCTAGACTAGCGAGCTAGACTCCAGGTGGGACTAACCTTATGTTATTGTACGCCGAGGTGGATAGACACTTTAGGGTATATACCCGACCTGCCTATGCACGGGCTACTTAGAGGCGATTGGTTATTCCGAAGTGCCAGACTGGCGAGCTAGACTCCAGGTGGAACTAACCTTATGTTGTGGTACGCCAAGGTGGATAGACATTGTAGGGTATATACCCGACTTGTCTATGCATGGGCTACTTGGAGGCGATTGGTTATTCTGAAGTGCCAGACTGACAAGTTAGACTCCAAGTGGAATTAACCTTATGTTGTGGTATGCTGAGGTGGATAGACACTGTAGCATATATACCCGACCTATCTATGCGCGGGCTACTTAGAGGCGATTGGTTATTCTAAAGTGCCAAACTGGCAAGCTGGACTCCAGGTGGAATTAACCTTATGTCGTGGTACGCTAAGGTGGATAGACATTGTAGGGTATATACCCGACCTGTCTATGCATGGGCTACTAAGGGGAATTAGGGATCGTTGTGCCTATGCCGAGGAGGCGACTAGGACTTGTCTGCCCATACCGAAGAGGCGACTAGGACTTATATGTCCATGCCGAAGAGGTGACTAGGACCTATCATATTGCCGAGATCTTTTTGTCAGCTCGGCACCGTAGCCCTTAGGCTTCTAGGAGTGACTCACTGTCCTCTCTCTAGTCGGTCGTCTTTTTTGATCAGTTCGGTGGTCCCATAGACTTAGACAATTTTTTCCTTGGGGTCACGGGCTCATAAGTAGTACCTTCTTAGGTTATCGATATCCCATGCTCGCGGTACCTGCTTCCCTTCCAAAGTCTCGAGCTCGTATGTACCTTCCCCGAATACCTACTTTACACAGTATGGACCTTCCCAATTTGGTCCGAGCTTACCTACGCCGGGCTTAGGTACCCTAACTTTCCGAAGAAACAAGTTACCGACACGGAACTGTCGCTTTCTAACCCGGGCGTTATAATACCGAGCTACTCTCTGCTGGTAGGTTGCGGTCCGAATGTAAGCCAGGTCTCGCACCTCCTCTACCAGGTCCAGGTTGGTACGGAGCTCGTCGTCGTTTGTTTCCTCATCATAGGCCTCCAATCGTAGCGAGGGTACCTCGATCTCTGTCGGGATCACCGCCTCTATGTCATACGTGAGGTTGAAGGGGGTCTCACCCGTCGCAGTCTTGATAGCAATTCGGTAGACCCAAAGGACACTGGGCAGTTCGTCTACCCATAATCCCTTGGCTCGAGTTAGGTGAGCCTTTAGTCCACGAAGTATTGTCCTGTTAGTTACTTCTACTTGTCCATTTGCTTGGGGTGTGCCACCTAGGTAAAGTTTTGTTGAATTTTCATCTTGGTACATCAATTTTGAAACTTAACATTTTTGAACTGCTTCCCATTATCGGATATCAGCACTCGGGGTAGTGCGAAGTGGCATACTATGCTTTTCCAGAAGAAGTTCAGTATGTTACGAGTTGTGATCGTAACCAAGGGTTCGGCTTCCACCCACTTTGTAAAATAATCTACTACTACAACCAAGAACCTCTTCTACCCCGTTGCTGGTGGGAAAAGACCAAGGATGTCAATTCCCCACTGCGCAAAGGGCTACGGGTTGGTGAGGTATTTCAAATCAGCAATAGGTCGGTGGTGGATGTTGGCATGCCTCTGACACTTGTCACACTTTTTGACGAACTCGAGTGCATCCGCCTTCATTGTGAGCCAATAATAGCCTTGCCTTAACACTTTCTGTGCGAGGGCTCTGCCCCCCAAGTGTCCACCGCACAAGCCTTCATGGGTGTCGTGAAGTACTTGCTCAGCTTCTAGGGGTCGCAAGCAGCGGAAGTTAGGGAGTGTAAAGGATCTTCTATACAGTTGTCCGTCTATGAGGACGTACTTGGCTGACTAGCACTTTACCCTCCGAGCCTCATTGCATTCTGTAGGTAGGGTTTCGTGGAGCAGATAACTCGCAAGTGGATTGATCCAGCTCGGTTCTGCTTGTGACACGGGAGCGACCTCTTCTTCTCCCTAGAGAATGTTGGGCCGAGGTGAGTCCTCTATATACACAGCTCGCATAGTGTTGCTGCTCGTGCTAGCTAAATGTGACAAGGTATCGGCCTCAGCATTCTCAGACCTCAGAACTTTTATGACAAAGCAGGAGACGAAGCTGCATAGGACCTCTCTAGATTTGGCCAAGTAAGCTGTCATAGTGGGGTCACGGGCTTCATACTCACCAGTGACTTGGTTAACCACTAATTGTGAGTCGTTGTATACGATGAGGTGCTTTTCTTTCATTTCCCTTGCTAAGGTTAGCCCAGCGATCAGTGCTTCATATTATGCCTCGTTTGATGCATCGAATCTGAACCGGAGAGCATACTCCAACTTCACCTCGCTTGGGTCGTACAGTATTAGTCCTGCACCGCTTCCCTGCTAATTGGATAAGCTGTCGACGTG